ACACACACACACACACACACACACACACACACACACACACACACACACAAAACAAAAAAAAACCCTACAAAAAACATAGAAAATCTACCAAAAATTTACATGCAAGCTATATATTTTATATAAATTCTAATGTGGAGTTATTATTTGTGAACATGTGTGACTTCATGAAACTGCCATTCTATCAAGAACCTTTTACATGCTATCCACACATAAAATCCATCCTTTTCCCCAAAGACCGTGATGCTGAGTCTTTTATTCTCCTACTTATTTAGCAATCACTGAACACCTGCTTCATGAAAGCCCCTTTATCACATGCTGCAGACTGCAGAAGGGAGCCTCAAATTCTCAGCCCCGTGCTGTCTTTTGATTCCTGTTTTTATTTCAAGTGAGATTTTTAAATCTCTTAATTGCATAAAACACATGCAAATCGATGGCCAACTGTTGAAATGCAGATGCCTGTACGCTGCAAATCCTAGGTGAAAGGACAGAGGTCGAGGGTCACGGAGTTCAGGATCAGTCATACTTCTGGTGGCTCTAACACCTAACACTGCAGCATGTACACCCATGGCTAGTTTTGATATGACCTATCTTCCAAATGCCCAGGTCTGATCTTCCACTTAGCGTTCTTGGCAAGTGCTGGACACTTTAACGAATGGAGTCTAGTGGGACACTAGGACACTAGTCACTGGGGACATACGCTCAAGGGAGACTGTGGAACAGAACAAAGCAAAGTGACCGTCTCCTATGACAGCAGGGAAATCAGAGCGAGACCAATGTAACTCCAGTGCCCACCACTTAGGCAAGGACTGGCTCCTGAGATGTCGGCAGGTATCAAAGGTGACAGATTATCCTTCTTATAACACAGGATGGCATTTGCATCTGGCTTATGCACACCTTCCTGACCACTTTAGAGCATCCCACATTGTGCACAGCAACTCATAGTGTGACTGCTTATAGGAATAGCCATTATACTATACTGCTGAGAAAAGTATGGCAAGAAGAAACATCTGACCAGGCAGTGGTAGTGCACGCCTTTAGTCCTGGCACTTGGGAGGAAGAGACAGGTGGATCTCTGTAAGTATAAGGCCAGCCTAGTCTACAGAGAGAGTTCCAGGACAGGCTCCAATGCTACACAGAGAAACCCTGTTTTGAAAAACAAAACAAAATAAGACAAAATAACATCTGTATGTGTTTACTACAGATACAGTCAAAATGTCGTCCATCTGTAGTTGGTGAGTCTGTGGTTGAAGAGATTCATTTCAATAAATACTGGATGATCATTTGATGTAATTCAACTTACAGTCCACAATAATGCAATTATGAGACTAGAAATCCAGAACCACGGTCTGCATAATCATGAAAGATGAGAATAAAAGTCCCAATGAGCTTTTTAAGAGTAAGGTATAACCTTTCTCTGAGCTCATCTGGAAAAGAACAACTCAGAAGAAAAAGGAAGACTTGCATGTGAACTTCAGTCTAGTGGATTTCAAAGAGAGACCATTAAAATATGGGGAATAACTTGTGGTCACTTCAAATACAAAACACAATAAATATTTGGGTGAAAGGGTGCTGCATGAGAGAAGACCATTCTCTCAGAAAAAAGGCAGACCACCTTATACGACTCCGCAAAGTAAAGTCTAAGGGGCAAGTTGTCGAGGTATTTCCTGGGACAAAATTTTGGGGTCTTGGGGCATGAAACAGAAACATTCAAGACTTCGAGCCGCAGTGGATTCGCCTCTGGAAAGTCAGAGACCTCCACTCTCTCTCACTCACGTGACAGAAGCCCCACCCTAGAGAGACTTCAGCTGGTGACCCCCCAGTTCCTTATAGCAAAGAGCCACGAGACTTAGGATGTAGTCACCTCGCGGTGAAAGCTGGAGAACACTTTCAATGCAGGTACAGTAATGGTTGAGTTGGCATCCTGGGGGAACCCCGGCAACTCCCATTTTAATGAAGATTTCCAAGGGAAAAAAACCTCTGAATAGCAACCCAAAGTAAGAGAATTTGGAGACTGCTGCCAGCAAGGTTGTTTCTAGACCCAGTATTGCTTTATTTATGCCACTATCGATTTTATTTTCAGGGGGAAAAAAAGAACCTTGAGTGATTAATTGATCCCGCACAGCTCCCCAATCGCCATGCGGGAGCGGGTCCTTTCTCTCACATCATCACCCTACTCATCTCTTCTTCCTTTTGAGAGTCTTTGCGCAGACCATATGTGGTCGCTAAGATTTCTCTGACCCAATGCCTGGAAAGAATCGCTGCTGTGAAAAGCTAGCAGCAAAGAAGGAAGAAGTGGGAAATGCATCACCCTGACTGGCGACTGCGTTAGGTATCCAACTTCACCTTCAGCTGGGTGTGCCCTTCATCGAGTCCGCACGGGGCACTGGAGGCGGGGTTAGGGCTGGCTAGATGCAGTGACGGGATTATGTACTATGTTGGGTGCTCTCCTGTAAACTAGAAAGTCTCAGGGAGCCCTACTAGAGCTTTAAACAAGACTTGCCCTTGGGTCCATGAAGCGCAGCTGTGGGAATGGTGGATCACGAAGAGGATAAGGCTAATGTCTGGGAGGTTACTCGGTGGTTACTTAGGAACGAAGATGACCGCGAGTGTCTGTACCAAAGAAGAGACTACACTAAAGGACACAGCAACAAACAGTCTACGACCATTCACATGCTAGCACCTCTGGGCCTCAGAGATGGGTACGAAGAGAGGAGAGGCAGAAGCAGTTGAGGCTGATACATGGCCTGGGCACATGGGTACCACCAGGGGAAACAGTCAATAGAGGATGCTAGCTAAGGGCTGATTGGCATCATTGTGGAAGCCTTGTTGCAGGTAACCCCTTCTTGTAGACATCTAAATTTCCAAAGGAGATCCCCTTATAACTGGGATGGATTTCAGGCGATCTCAAGTTACAGACAATGTTACTGCACATATGTTCATATATATGTGAGTAACAACACCGCTTTTCAAAACAATGGACAACTCTCAGGAGTGGGTGATATATGAACGTAAGTTATCGCGTTCCTCAAAATAGATGATGACGAAGAAACCGCTGCCCCGTGGGAATCTCTCCAGAGCATATACTGGGCTAACATCTGCCTTCCATCAATTTGGCATCAGAGAACCAGGACCTCATCCAGAAAAGCAGCTCAGAGACACTTGCGTGTGGACTCGCACTGGTGGAAGCACAGGGAAAATGGCAAGTATTTTGGCTGTTGCTCAAGGTGGAGGGGCAGGAGAATCTATGCAAAGAGAAAGTTGTGTGTGGGAGTCCTCAGGGGTAAGGCCGGGAATGGAGTTCAGGCAACGTCTCCTGCCTTCAGTGTTCCGCAGGAAACAAAGGTACTTGTAGGTTACTGTGGGGAGCAGAAGCCAACCCAGGGAGCTGCTGGAGACTATCTGGGGGAACTCTGTGAGGAGGGGTGAAAGTTCACAACTCCCTCCACATTCGATGCTGTAGAGTTCACTTTGATTTCCAGAAACAATTGTGTTAATTAGCAGAGCCCCCTTTAAACTTAGATTATTTGCTGCTGCTTTTGTGATGCTGGAGTTTGAGCCTAGGGTCTCATGGTTGCTAGGCAAGCAAGTGTTCTTCTGAGCTAGACTCTAACCTTCTTTTTACCAGTTAATATTCATTATTGTTGTGGGTATGTGTATGTGAGGGCATGCGAGTCTGTTCATGGATATATATAAACATGAGGTCAGCCTTGGCTAGCTGCTCCTCAGGAGTCGTTCACCTGAGATCAGATCTCTTACTGGGACCTGGGGCCCACAAATAGGCTAAACTAGCGGCCAGTGAGAACAGACATCTGCCTGTCTCTGACTCCCTGGTTCTGGGAAGAGAAGCCAGAGCCACCACACCTAGGTCCTTATGTGGGCACTGGGTACTGAACTTCAGTCTTCATGGTCACACAGCCAACTCTTTCTACACCTCCTCAGCTCCCCTTCTAAAAATTTTTGGCATAGGGTCTCACTAGCCTGGAATTTGTTAACCCCCTGCCTTAGCCTTTCCTGCAGTTGAGAATACAAGCCTGTCCTGCCAGGCTTGGCAGAAGGAAGATGTATTCATTCCTTAGTTCGAAGCATCCTTCTTAGTTGTAAGACGGTTGGTGGGTTGGTAGTAGCTGTTGATTTTGCAATCTTCATTCAAGTTTTCTTAATTGGTCTTAAAAAACAATCGCTATTCTTACTTTCCAACATTGTTATCTAACATGCAATTGCTCTGACATCAAAGACTTACCACGGAGCCACTCTGGAGGTCCACAAAACTACCTTCCTCATCCCGGGTACCGTTGGATAGGGTGGTACTGCTGAGAGAAGTAGCATCTGGCTAAACGGAGAAACAAAACAGTCACAGTTACTCAGAATTACTTCCAGTGTGTCTGTGCATTCCGCTGGCTACAGGGATGTGTGACAGATGTGAGGTTATGACTGTCTGGGTCTGGACAGCTGTGTACAGCCATTACTGCTGCCCTACTGTGAGACCCTGAATACCAAGCCCTCTGCTAGATGCTGGCTTCTGCAATAGACACTCCACCACCTGCCCCGTACTCTGCCATAACACTCTCTTGGCTTATTTCTAGGGTGCTAGGTATTAAATAAAACACTTCATTTTCAGGCTCAAGTGACGCTAAGGGATTGTATGGCAAATGCGGGCAACAAGGCATAAGTAAGTGTAATCTTACTCAAAGAGTTTCTGGTAAAACTAAGGTCTTCCTTAGTGGTGGTGTAAGGTTATAACCCAGCACGCATGAGACTGAGTCAGGATGATTGTGAATTGTACAACAGCCTGGGCCGCAAAGGAAGATGGGTTCTAAAAGTCAAACTAGATTTATGTAACCCCAATCTGCCTGTGACAAGACCACAGGTGACAGCATGGGGCTGCCAAGTTCTGTGTCCAGTAAGAATGGTGGGTAAAGTAACACAGATGTAAGGGTGGCAGACACTGAGAACCAAATCTGGCCATGTCCACGTGTCTCGTGTGTCTGTACTATCAGACCTAAACTTCTCATGTTAAGTCTGAAAGTAAATGAAAACCATTTCATTTACATTGGTTTTGTTTTTGATTTGTTTTGAAATTATATCACTTTTTTGTAGGATTCATCAGCAACGGCACACATATAGTTTTCACTATATAGTTTCACTATAAAGCTAGAGAAAAAGAGATTTGAAGTTTCTTTGATGTAGTGTGCAATAACTACTGAAGATGTGACGTGTTCTTGACTAAAGAAAAGATATAAAAAATTGAATATATTTGAGAATTAAAAAAACAGAATATTTTGTCTTTTGAAATTCTATTCTTGATCATATTTCCTCCATATAACCTAAATTCTTTACAAATGAACAAGAGGTAGGTGTGGCAGTATATTCAGGGGGCCCAAGCACTCAGTGGGTGGGGGCAGAAGGATGAAGAGTTCAAGTTCAACCTCAGCTACTTATAGCTTGAAGCCAGCCTGGGCTACATGAGACCTTGCTGCTCATAAATAAGTAAGTAAATCAGATGATAGATAGAAATGTAGATATATATCACCTATCTAACCGTCATCTTTCTATTGTATTTATCTACTTATCTATCTTTCATCTATCTATCTATCTATCTATCTATCTATCTATCTATCTATCTATCTATCTATCCATCCATCCATCCACCCATCCATTCACTTCCCTCTGTCCTGAGTGTAAGCCTGCCTCCGTGGAGGGGAAATAGCACGACCCTCCCTCTGCCATTTCCCAAGTCCACTCTGCAGCCCTTCATACTGTTTCAGTGTCTCGGCTAGCGTTGATATTCAGAACTGTAGAGTGCTCATTTGCAAGCAGGTTAGCTTACTAATCTTACTGATTAATTTTGCCTTTGTCATTTTGATCTCCTTAACCTTTAGTCAGGGTGCGAAGAAGAAAGCAGAAGAAACTGTGTCTTTGTAATCACACAATTCGTTACTATTTTAAAGAAACAAATGGAATACAAGAACTGGCTGAACAAAGTTAATCAAGGTGCCAAATAACAGCCATCAACCTCTCCCCTCCTCCAAATCACTACAAATGGCAGATTTTTACAGGAAACCAATTTTGGACAGCCCTGGAATTCAGCCAAGAATTCCACAATAGGACAACAGACAGCAATTACTAGATAAAAAGCAAACAGTAAGAGAAACAAGAGGGATGGGAAGATGGATTAGTAGTTAAGAGCATTGGCGGCTCATCCAGAGGACTGGGGTTCGGTTCCCAGCACCCACGTGGTGGCTCGCAAACATCTGTCACTCCAGTCCTAAGGAATCTGATGCCCTCTTTTGAACTCCCGAGCCACCAGGCGCACATGTGGTACACAAACATACATTGCAGGCAAGCATCCAGACAAACAAAATAAAATTAAAAAAATAATTAAGTAGCATAAGACAAAATTCCTAGGAAAAGACAAGAAAAACAAGCTCATAATAAAGGATAAACAAAGCAGGGGTGGATGCAGGCAAATATTTAAACATGGGTGAAAACACAGACACTAGGCTGATTTCTCACTTAAATATGAACAGCTCTTAAATGTAACCCTAGGAAACCAGAAAGCATACTGAGTCTAAATAAAATAGACTCAGTACCGTAGGGCTACTTGCACAAGAGAGGTGTCGCAGACAGCACAGGGAAAGACACTTGAGAGAGAAACAGTGACCCAGCTTTTTGGGAAATAGGACAGCATCTTCCTCTCTCTGATTCTGTACTGGGGAGAGGGCTTGCCTGCTCCACCTACCCCCTCTACACACCTGAAAGCTAAGTGCTACGAGCACAAATAATTCTGCCTCTTGGAGAAACTAAATCTACAGAGGAAACATACGACAATTTCCTACATGAATCAACTGAAAAAAAAATCAATAAGTCCAGTTCTACAGGAGACCTTACGGAAGCAGTTCACTGCCATGAGGGTTGAGATCTCCCTAGGGGGACGTGTGTGGCGGCTTCCCTTTGTTTAGCGGAGGCCTTTGGTTCACAGTGCTGAGGAGAGTGGGCTGGAGGTGTGGGGGTCTGGGAAGCAGACAGAAAGACACCCTAGGACCGCACACGTGACCAGAGGCGCTCCAATCACTGGAAACTCAACCCCAGGACTCTAGCTGCCACCCAGTGGGAGTGCTCCACTTCCCTCAGCAGAGGGTGCTCATCCAGGGGTAAATCCTTTTCTGTTTGCGCCACTGAACAAGCCACTCCATCAAAGTTAATATATTCTCCACACAAAATATTTACCTCCGGAAAATTCGGGGAAAACATTAAATATTTATATCTTAGTAGACACTTAGGATGCTGAAGAAACGTTTACATTGAGGTCAGTAATTTTGTTTTCTAATGTGAGCTCACCCACAAACACCAAGAGCTGGCTGACAGCATCCTCCACACAGGTTATGTACACACACACACACAAATCTATTATGGTTGTTATTTCTGACTGTAGTATTTTTTTTTTTTTTACTTTTATCTGCATTTATTTCATGTTGAATTTATTCCCGTGCCAGAAGTTTTTGTTTCTTCAGTTTCTTCTGGGATATCTTTTTCTTCTGTGCAGCCTCCTCTTCTGGCTTTGGAACAATCTGTTCCTTTTCAGTGAGGATCATCTCAATGTGGCAGGGAGAGCTCATGTATGGGTTAATCCGGCCATGAGCTCTGTAAGTTCTTCGGCGCATCTTAGGGGCTTTGTTCACCTGGATGTGCTCAATGACCAGAGAGTCCACATCTAAACCCTTCAGTTCAGCATTGCTCTCTGCATTTTTTTTAGCATGTGCAACAAAAATTCCGCACTCTTTTTTGGCCACCGACCCTGTGTCCAGCCTCACTGTTTGGCCTGGGCGCACCTACCGACTCCACCATTGTACCGTCGGAATGGCACACACTGCTTCTTCAAAGTGACATCTTTCAGATACTTGGTGGCTTTTCGGATATGCATACCCTTGATGGCCTGGGCCGTTTCACGGGTGTTCTTAAAGTGAACCCTAAGGTTAGATCCTCTCGATTTGCATGATTTTGTAGGGTTTTCCGGGTCAAGAGAGTAGCGAACCATCTTCACGGGTCACCTCTGGCCGCTTACAGGAAGAGGACTGACTGTAGTATTTTTGAAGATAGTATTTCACTCTCCTGGATTTCCCTACAAAATTATTCCCTGCCGAGAGCAGCAATGTGTGCTGATACTGTGTGTGGTTGGTGCTTGGCAACCATTGGAACTGTGTGGGCTCTTGACTCAAGAGAAACACGGATGCACACCCTTTAAGTAATGTTGTTGTGGCGTATTGCTCATAGCAGCCTGAACTGTAAGCAATCCACACATCTATAGACAGGTGAACAGATACGGCAACAGGGGGCACAATTATAAAATGGACTCTGACCTGCCAGAAGACTCTAAGTACACATTTGTAGGTCTTATAAATTATAGTTCTGAGAAAAGGCAAATGTTAAAGCAGTCTTGTGCTTAACATTCTACGTAAATGGAGATGGAGACAAGCAAAGGTGTTAATCACAGCACGGTTTGCCTCTGAAGGAAAGAAGGGCTGTCCGCTGACAAGGACGGGGAGGCGTTCCGCGGACAGGGAGGCATTCCGCGGTGAGGGCCATTTTCTATGATTTCGGTGACTGTCATTTTCTGGGAAGCACGTTTGTTAAAACTAGTTGAAAGACGCGCCTAACGTGTGGTGTGTTATTTGTAAATTATGCCCCAGCTTCAAGAAGGCATAAAAAGAACCTGTATCCTCAAAACTTTAAATCGGTGCTTTGGCTCAGAATGTATCGCTGTAACACTGGGCATATGAATTTAAAAAGAAGTTTGTCGTTGGGAATAAGCGTATGTTTTCTGAAATGCACACAGAGTTGGGAAGTTAAATAATCACACACTTATAACCCAGAAAAAAATGGCAATAATTTGAAACACAGTGTTGAAGAAGTTTAGAATACGCAGCAAAGAGACTAACGCAAAATTTAGTCAAGAGTGAAATATGATTCAAGCAAAGCAACAACCATGTAATTTGTGTGTTAGGAGATGGACTACAAGGATTGAGGAGAAAAGTTAACTCAGGATACAATGGAAGAAAATCTCCCGAAACTGAACAGAGGCGGGAAAGACTCACTAAGGCTGATCAGAATGAATGCAATAGAACCAAGGTCTTTGTCAAAGTTCAGAATCCAGAAAAAAATGAAAAATTCATAATATTCAAGAAATAAAGCAAAAAGTTTAAATAAGAAACCCAGATAACTTATTTTTAAGGGAATAGAGTCTAAGCAAGTACAGGGGGAAAAAATCCTTATAACCTAGTAAGGGTGTCACAGGCTGACCGCAGAAAGTAAGGAAAATTCCTCTGTGCAGATAGGTTTTCTAGGGAAAGTGAGGCTTTCTGTTGAATACAGATAGCCAGGAGGCTGATGCTCCCGGGGAAACATCAGCTTGGTTTCCTAACCATAGGGCTGGGGCAGGGACTCAACCTACCAGTTAAGGAGCATCATGGAGAGGAAGTCAGTTAGTCCCTGGGCTAAACTCACCATTGTGCTGTTTGTAACTGCACCAGCTTTGATTCTTTTCATCATCAGCCTCCTAATCTGTGATTAAAACAAACTCCTACTTGTTTAAATCAAGGTTCCTGAGATTTCCGTTCCTAGGAGACACACACAGATGCAACCGATGCCTCTCGACAGATGGCACGATTGGATTTTGCCATGAATTATAAAACAATGGCAAGTGTTGAGTTTGATTTTCCACTTAAAACATTGGTGGTAAACTAGATTGACTGCTTTGCCATGTAAATAAACTAGCATCTCCAATGAATATTTCATCTCTGTCGACCGAATACAAGAAAAATACCTTCATTTATCTTTATGGGACGTGCCTTGTAGACTAGGATTTTGATGATAGCAGTTGGATTGTAAATCCTGTGAAGAACCAAATTTAGTGCCATTTGTCACTCAGAGTCAAAGATCAGCCAAGTGCAAGCCATGAACAGTCATTCATGCATGCACTGTAAGCAACGTACTGCAGAGCAAATATCTGTGCTAGTACTGAGACGGCAAGACTTCCTATGCACTTTATTTTAACCAGTGGATTGAGATACAGCTGATTTATAAAGACCTACATAACTAAACTCAAATATAGAATATGTACCTAGCATATAATTTGATGAAATTAATTTAATAAATTTTGATCAAAACTTAGATCCTATGGGATTAGTCATTACTACAGTAAAGATGATAAATGCCACCAGCATCCCAAAATATGCTCATCCCCTTTATGGAATCTATATCCCCAGGAAAATCTATCTTTCCCTCCTTTCCTTTATCTCATCTCCCCAGGAAATCATCAATGACTTCCCTAGGAAGTCTCTGTCACTGTGGGTTAGCTTATATTTTTGTATTTTTTACATAAGTTGAATGTTTTGCCTGGCTCCTTTCACATGGTATTAGTTGGAGACCCATCCATGCTGTGGATGAATGGCAAGTAGAAACAGATGTGAGAAAAGATCAGAAAGCCAGTAATGGGGGCACAGTTCTCTGCTTCCCAGTCATGGAGCCCTGGTTACTGCCCAAGTCTTACTCGACTCCTCCCTCTTGGGTGTGAGGGGAGAGCAGAAGGGATTGCAGGAGATGGTGGAGAACAGGAAATGGAGGGGAATGAGAAAACCAAAAGAAAATTCAATCACCGAGTTCCTGAGTTATGTGTCTGTTTTATCGAACACGCAGTCAGTTACATGTTTACCTATTAAACTTGGTTCATATGCTGCTGAATATTTTTTCTTAGGAACTGATGAAAAGTAGTCAGGTGTGCTAACAGATGTGGCTGTCCAACCACCTCAGTCACACGGTACTAGTCTAATGTTTAGCATGACTGTCATGAAGAAATGGCTTCATCCTAATCCCCATGCATTCTTCCATTACTCACCAGAGGGCCACTTGTTTTGGTAACTCCTGGCGGTTCTTTTTCTTCCTTGGTGCCGTCCAACTGAGTAGCACGGTCACAAGAATCACTAGACTAAGGAAAACAAAGAAATTCATTTTCCTTCAGCTCCTCACTGCAAACATGGCCATGTATGTCACTATGCATTACAACAGAGCTCATATACATATGTATGATTTATAAGGTTACACAAAGACACACAGAGTTCATGGCTGCTTGTGTGTTGATACAGCACTTACCAATTCATCGACAATCATAATACACACCTTGGGCTACAACAGAATTTGTTTCACAGCCAGACACAGCTAGCTGCCTGCCTATTTCCTCTTTTCTTCCTTGAGTGTATGAACGTCATGATTTGCTCTATGGTCCTACATGGCCACCTAAGACTCTGTGTTACCGGCAATGATTACACATAGCAGGAAGAATACTCTGGGGACATGGATGTGTTCCTGGGGTGTCACACATTCTATGAATACCATGTAATCACCTCAATGCTGAGGAGAGCAGAACAGAAAGATGAAAGTTGGCAGATTCATGCCTGTCTGTCATGGCACCGCTGGCCTTTCAACCATGAGCCTTGCATGCAAAGGGTAAGCCTTTCCCCCTTTCCACCCTCTTTTTTAAAATTTTTAATACAATCTTTTCTTATTTTACATAGCTATCTCTGTTCCTACTCCTCCACTCCTCTTTCTTTCTCCATCCTCTCCTTCCACCATCCCATCCACACCTCAGAAAGGGTAAGACTTCCCATAGGGAGTCAACAAAGTCTGACACTTCACTTACAGCACCCCCCCCCCATATCTAGGCTGAGCAAGGCATCCCTCCAAAGAGAATGTGCTCCTAGATGCCAGTTCAAGCACTAAGGATAAATCCTGCTCCTACTGCAGTAGCCTCCCAGGCTATCCAAGCCTCACAACTGTCCCCCACATTCAGTGGGCCTAGTTTGGTCCCATACAGGTTCCCCTGCTATCAGTCCAGAGTCAGTGAGCTCTCACTAGCTCAGGTCAGCTGTTTCTGTGGGTATCACCATTATGGTCATGACCCCTTTGCTCATATTATCGCTCCTCCCTCTCTTGGGTTGGTCTCAGGTAGCTCAGCCCAGTGCTTCACCGTAGATCTCTGCATCTGCTTCCACCAGTTGCTGACTGAAGGTTCTATGACGCCAATTAAGGTACTCATCAGTCTGATTACAGGGGAAGGCCAATTTAGGCGTCCTCTCCACTGTTGCTTAGAGTCTTAGCTGAGGTCATCCTTGAGGATTCCTGGAATTTTCCCTAGTGCTAGGTTTCCTGATAGTACTTTAATGGCTCCCTCAATCTCTCATGGTGTATAACAGTTTATACTCCATGATCCCAGAGAAGCTCCATAACAAGAACCCTAAGAGAGATATGCATGGATACCCCTGGGAAGGGGAAACACACAGGACCTCCTCAGAAAATTGGTGTCGGGGAGGAAAAGGGAGAGGAGAGGAGAAGGGGAGGGAAGAGGAGAACATGAGGGAATGAGAAGCTCAAAAAAAAAAAAGGACAGTGAAGGGGGGAAAGGAAATAGGTATCTTGATTGGGGGAGCCATTAAAGCCTTACTCTTTAAGGAGGCAGCTGACTGATAAAAACACACTGCTTTCAAACCGGGCTTACAGAAAATGTGTGATATTTGTCTTTTTGAGTCTGGACTATTTCACAGCACAGCACAATCTTCATCTTCCATCTATTTCCTGTGAAGGACACAATTTTCTGTCTTTATGGCTGAATAAAACCTCATGTATATAGTAATAAGCAAAGAGATAACTGGACTTGTGTCTGCATTCCACAATGGTTATATGGTCATGTCAAAGAAGTCAGTCTTTTTCATATATACAAATAAGAAATCAGTATTAGACTGAGGACTTCATAAACTCATAGTACTAAGTCAAATATTCTATCCCCACCCACCAGATACTGGAAACTCTCCAGTTTCCATGATGTCTGAAGTACTGGGAGCCAGGTGTTCTGTTTGGGTTGGACAGAGCCACAGGCCTCACATATACATACGGTCTAAGACTCAGAAGCATTTCCCTTAAGGACACCAAATGCTGATTCTATGGTTGAGCTGGCTTTCTGAAACATCAAACATACTAGACATTATAGAAATCTTAAGCCATTCTGTCGAATCTTAGGAAATGCCATTTTTCGTAAGCCTTCTCCAAAGCATATACAGTAGGTGCATAACAAAAGCACCGGTTTGTAAATGGCAGCTGCTGAAGAGGCAGCACAGGGAGCTCTGGTCAGGGTGAAGCGTGAGCATACACACACACATACACACCACACACATACACACATATACATATTCACACGCCACACACATACACACATACACATACATACACATAACACAACACACACATACACACATATACATATTCACATGCCACACACACATACACACATACACATACAGACAGATAACAAAACACACACACATGCACACATACACATAACACAACACACATACATAACACACACATACATGCACACATACACATAACACACACAACGCACACATACACACACATTACACACATATACACATACACACAACACACATACATACACATATACATCCATACCACACCTGGTCACTGGTAATAAGATGCTCTCATGAACACAAATCTAAGTTGGACATGAGGCAGGGGGATCAGGAGCTCAAGGCCACCATTGGTGAGTCTGAGGCCACCCTGGGCTTTGGGAAACCCTGCCTCCAAAACAAAAGAACAGAACCCAAATGGCACTGGGATCATCACAGTGGCCCACCAACACTCAGAAATGGGTAGAAATTCCTGGGAAACGACTTGGGTAATGGTACAGGCATCCTGAGCCGAAGAATAACATAACACAACATTGCTTTCAAGCAAACGAGAAATCCATAAAAATCAAACAACGAAACAAGCCCAGAGTAAAGGGCAACCGGGCACTCACAGGGCGATTGACAGCACACGCGTTTTCTCAGCAGAGAGGCCACCTCGTAATCTGCCGCCAGCCCTGAGGTGCGAGCGGCAGCCCGTGGCTACGTGCAGTCTGAGAGGCACCCAAGTCAAGCGTGCTGACTCCTTTGGTGGCTCGGGGAAGGTGTCCCTGCTAAGGACCGAGCAGATAGCACTATCAGGTCACTCTAGAATTCTAAGAAAAAACATGAACGGGAGACTAAAAGCAAAATACTAGTTTATGTGGGATGGGAAGAAATTAAATCATTTTCTCCTCCCGTTCAGCACAACTGTCCCATGGTTGGCCAACTCTCTCAAAGAGCATTTGTTGGAACTTAGTCCCCAACACAGTCGTATTCAAAAAGCTGTGCAGGGCCTTGACTCTCTTATTCCGGGAGGGAGACTGGTACTCTGAGAGTGGGTTCCTCAAGCAAGGAGGCATGTGTCCTCTGCGGCTTCTCCTGTCTCACTTCCCTACCACGAACGACACAGAATGAACGTCTACACCAGCTGCCTGGCCGGTCCTTCAACTTCGCGGCCCTTCAGCTTTGGTAATGCTCCACCCTCAAAAGCTGGGAGAAATAAATCTCTGTTCTAGACACATGGCCCAGGGTGTGGGCATTCCTTTCTAACAATATAAAATGGTAAAAATCGAAGAAAATATGGTTACCAGTTCTGACGAAAACAGAATGAGAGAAAAACAGTTGATAAGGATTGAGTAATTTCCGAGAGATTCGGAGGCAGCCTCACGTTCGGAGCCATCACCACAAATGAATACACAGAAATCAGTAAAACTTGAGGTACCATTTTGAGTTAACAGTGTGACTGGTAATTTTTAAAATCAGCATGGACAGGGAAAATCTTTTTTTTTTTTTTTTTTCCAACAAGTGACACCAGGTATATCAGCCACATTCCAGGGAAGGCCCATGCTCAAGAGGAGCTGGGCAACACAAGCCAGACTACGTGTTTTTAGTGACTTTTTCTTGTGCTTGTGTTTTTGCTTTTGAGAGAGAAAAAGAACGAGTTAGGTCTGGGGAAGTCTGAGAAGAGCTGGTGGGAAGGAAAGAATACGATAAAAGGTATAAAATTCATCAAAGAATAAATAAAATACAAACAAACCCATGGGTGCTATAATCATTCATTGCAAAAACTGGAATTAGGGAAGCAAATGATAGAGATGTAATCTACTAGCATGCAAGACAAACATAAGGGCACTGGAAGTACAAGACATAATTCAAGAAAAATGTAATTTTGATCCAAGTGCAGAAAAGGAGAAATAATGAGAATGTTTAGAATTCACAGAAATCTTTTGCAAAAACTCAAAGCTGACTATTGACAGAATGAAAACGATAATTTAATGTCCCAGCAATAAATACAAACTTCTGAAGCTTATAGAACCATATAAATGGCAGTGGGACATAAATAATGGAATAAAATGTAGTGGGCCATAAAATTCCCGAAATTTAAATTGAGTGCCAATCCACAGATTCCTGCAGGATATAAATGATAGCACTTTCATAATCATTGGCTGGGGGAGGAGACCTGGTCAGTTGTCCTCCTCAGCTTGGACCATGAAAGCCAATATGGACAAGTTCAATAGAACCGCCTTTATGGGCTGCCATGCATGCTTCAGCATCGCCAGGGCAGAAATTTCATTCTTTGTTTTTTCAAGACAGCAATGGGTTTGAAGCAATGGAGCCAGGAAGGCCTGCGGTGGGAGAGTGGAAAAGTGGGGCCAGCGCCTCCCTTAGTCCTGCTTCAGCGCGTTGGCCTGAGGGGACCGGAGTGTTCAGCTGGATAGCCACTGGAAGGAACTTGATCTGGAATCACTTCCTTCCACTAACGTTATATAGAAGAAGAAGAAAGAAATGAGCATAGTTTAGGGGAGTCAGAGCAGGAAGAGCAGAGAAGGTAAACACCAGAGTGCTAATGTCCTTCTTGGGCTGACACACTCACGTCCCAGTTGGTCTACTCGACGGACAGCGGCTACCGTCCAGCTACTGGGAAAAACTGAAGTGCCTGGGGCCAGCAAAGAGGACTTGGGTGTCCTGGCTGGGTGTGGGCTGTGGAAGACTTTCCACACAGTGGGCGTAAGAGAGAGCTTGCTGCCAA